AAAGAGCTCAGCAGAAAGTGCAATCTTGATAACATTCTGATTGACACTTTTCGTGGAAAAGCTTGCATTTAATTTAACGCGCTTAATTAAAGTGGCCCCGGCCAAATGAAGCCGGCTAAAAGTCGGCCAACAAAACCCCAAACTGAGCCCGGCACAAAGGCGGCAAATAACCGTGGTCGGGAAAAACCTGGCATAAAGTTTCGGGCCACAATTTGGACTTTTTTCATCTTTTTTGTCCGCGGCCAACGCAAACAAACGGAGGCGACGAAACCAATACAAACACACAGAGGCAGCACAAAAAAAAAAAGGATAAAAAATGACAGAAATGATGCCCCGTCAGATTATCCTGTTGCAAGGCAAACAACAAATTTTCAAGAGCACTGCAAGGCCATAATCCCTCCCACGAACCCCCGGAGCAACCGAAACCGCTTGGGAAGCTGCCATAACATGGCTGATTACCCGCTGCAACTCGGCCAAAACCACTAAGCGCCCCGACCCAAAGTTTTCATTAAAGTGGCTCTCTGTTTTTGGCTTTCAGCTTTCAGTTACAGCTTCCAGGACACCCAGCTTCCCAGCCATCCCGTCAGCTCTCTCAGGTTTTGGCTTTCGGCCTTTGTAATTGCTCGGCATTGAGGAATTGGCAGCGCTGAGAGCTTAGCCCAGTTTGGTTTTGGTAACTGGCAGCCGTTGAGTGACAGTCGCCAGGTGTGCCCCAGATTGGCGGCCCATAAGATTCGGTGAGGATTCTAGCCGGGAGCGAATTTCCCGAGAGCAGCTCTGAAGGAATTTAATTGCGAAATTTTACGGGCTTGCATGCCATTCAATACTCTTTCAAAATGAATGTAAAAGTAGGCGAAAGGAATGTTGATCAATAAATATTATATATTTATTGTATAAGTTTTGTCAGTCAGAGATTAGTCGGCTGCATTCTTGACATTTTATTTGGAAAGGGAATTGTTAAAATGCTTTTGAAAATAAACTTCAAACATGTTAAGATGATTATCTTGCTTAGTTAAATTTAGATAAATTAAATGACTTTTCCCAGCTTGAATTTATATATTTAAAAATGTTTGAGTTATAACCTTATTTTTAGTTGTTTTTATACTGCACCTAAATTAAATGCTTCACTTTAGCAATTAAAATTTAATTGACACTTTAATGCGCCGACGATCTGTCGCTTCTAAACCCATTTTCGCCTCGACTTTCAAACTTCTGGCCGTGCCCGGTTCCAGTCATTGATTGTGCCATGCAAAAAGAACTGAAAAAAAGAAAATTCAAATGAAAATCGTCCTTCCATTTCATTTCCGGCACCACAGCGCTGGCCCACTATCCTTGACATTTTTCCCAGCAGCCATTTGCACTGCGATTTCGCTTCACTCCGCTTCAGATTTGCTTTTTTTCGGTTAGGTTTTTCCCCACTTTTTTTCGCCGCTTTGTTTAATGAATTATCAGTGCGCTCATTACCAGCACTTAAGGGTGGGAGGTGGGCGTGGCAGTGACACTGCAGCTTGAGTTTGCTTTATGTCAGCGGTGTGTCCTCGCGCTCTTAACCGCAGGCGCATCGAGTGGCTGCGTTTTTCCTGCCGAGGATTATTTGACATTGATGCGTTGACTTGTTGAACTTGCGGTTGAGGGGGAGACAATATCTGTTGGCTTAGCCAAAAACACGAAAATTAAATCCAAGTGGCATTTAAGGGGGAATTCGATACATCCTTGCCGCTCCTGCCGGGGCTAATCAATAAATGCAATTGCCATTAACTTTTCGGGGCGGCAGAGCAACTTTTCGGCCAAACTCCGTGTGCTGTTTCGTTTTGGGGAGGGGGAAAACTATTTTTCAATTTTCGCTGGGCGGAAACTTTTTGTACGGTACAGCTGCCTCGGAAAGTAATGCAACATCCATTAAAATGGACGACAGCAGTGGGCGTTGGTATGAAAGTGCAGGATGTGGTGAAGGAAGAGGCTCTGGCACATTAAGCAGCAGGCAGCAGCATCCTGTTTCGTCTCCCCTTCCCTGTCCCTGCCATATCGATTGCCAATGTTGGCCAATTGAAAAATATACACGGCAGGGAGAAAAAAAAAGTACAGAAATATGCACAACAAAATTTTAATACATTTTAAGAAAGTTTTAAATTTAAAATAAAGCCCAATATATTTTAAGAAAGTTTTAATTAAAGTTTAAACAGATGATAAGATAAAGTCAAAAATGTTCTAAGATTTAAGAGCATTCTTTGAAGAATCAAAGGTAAAAGTTCCTTTCAAAATAATTAGTTAAATTACGGAACTTTAGGTTTCAACATTTTTTTTTATAATTTTATACCTCAAAAATAGGTTTTTAATTTTTTTTCTTAGTGGAATAACAAACATTCATTCCTTTTCCAAGGCCACCAATACAGAATTTTCCAATTGTTCATAGATCTCTTTCTAAAAACCCAATCCACACTCGTTCTCCGATCATTCAGGACCCTTTTCTGTCATCAGTTTGGAATTTGCCACAATGTGATGCTAGCTTAAAATAAACAAAGCAAAAGAAAATGCGAGCGGAGCTGAAAAAGTGAAAAACTGAAACAGGTAGCAGCTGCCTGGCGCTAAAGTGCCAACTTATGCCACGAAAATGCTTGAATATAATGGTCGTTGAGGGAGGCATGAAGGATGGTGTGGAGGGGTGGCTTTTGGGCATAGGGTGGTATGCAATTGTGCGATGCCACCACAAAGGCCGCCAAGATGACGACGACGAGGACGACAAGGAGGATGAAAGTGGAACGAGAGCCGGCGCACCGCTGCTGCGTTGGCATTAAGTGGCATGTGGAAGCGGCTACAAGGACACTGATAATGATGGAAAAATTCCCTGGGCACATACACATAACACACATTGCTCTGTTAGCTCCGCTCATCGCTTTATCAAGCCCGAGGAGTCAACTAGTTGGTACTCAGCTTAAAGGTCCTTCATCGACTTGGCCAAAACTCGGAGGGAAAATCAAGCTGGCAGTAGACACTTGAAGAAATTTTGTGAATTAAATTTAATTAAAAAGAAGTTCATATAGTTGATGAAAATTATGCAATATAAACCAATTTATTCTTTAAGAATATACTAAAACTATTTATACTTCTATTCAATTTTATTTTTATTTTTAACAGTGTTCAAAAAGTTTAAAATGTACATCTTACCGAGTCACGTATATATCCTTAATACCCTGCCCTAGCCGCATATATAAAAATTGCACTAGCAGCCACAAGACAGTGACAAAAAGGCACTTGCCGCCTCTCCCATCTAGCCCATCCTTCGTCCTGCGTCCCTTTTGCCACTGACAGGTGCAAGGCAAGGCAGGACAGTGGGTGGCATTGGGCATTGGGCGTTGGACTGCAGGTGAAAGGTTGCAGGAAGGCAGCTGGGGAAACGAAATCGACCTTGACTGACAGCTTGACATGAACTCGACTGCTCTCGACGTTGCTGCTCTTTACTTGGCTTCACACCGAGATCCCAGCAACGGGCTCATTATTTTCGCTTTAGCTGGACAGAAGGTGGCCCAAACAAGGAGGTGGGTGCTATGTGGCGAATGTAAATGGTTTTCGTCTTTAAAGCCGACAAACCGCAGGCCTTGGTCCACGTTAACAGTAAGTAACTCCAACTAACCAAGTGAAGTTCACTTGAATATTCGGTGGCCTCTGACATGTCTGCGTGCTTGAAATTCATAAGCCAGCCAGCCGGGGCTCTTTATCAGCCAGACGGCATGGCTTAATTACATGTTATTCACGTATAAATCAAAGCAAATGGAACGAAATTGAGATCACCAAGGGAAATTATATGATAAAATGGGTGGGGAATGATTTCAGGGAATATAAAAATAGTATTTTTGTGGGAAATTAAGTTTGAAATTAAATCTAAATACATAGAAAATATAATTTGAAATAAACATTTTTAAACATAAAATAAAATAAGGAATAAACATGATATTATAAGCCTTATATCAATATAATTAAATAATATTTTAAAGACAAAACTGAATATTAAATAATACAAGAAATAAATATTCAACTATAAATATTATTATAAAATATAAAATATATACAAACCTTTACCTTTAAAATGCTACCAAAAAATGCAACTAAAAAAATCTTACAAAATGTCAACATTGTAAATGACAGACCTCCGGATTTATTTTGATTTAAATTCCTGACTCGACGTTCTCAACGTTCTTAAAATATTTACAACTTGGGTAGGTTTTAGGACCTGTCTTAAATATTTATGAGATTATGCACGGGGGCGCAAATGAGCTATTGATGTGGCCCAGACCACGGAAGCAGCAGAGTATCGGCTCAGATTCGCTTGACGCAAGAAGGGCGATTTCCATTTTACACAATGTTTCCCGAATGGCCCCAGAAAAGTAGGCAACGCTTTTCATTCAAATGCCTGCGGCCCAAAGACAATGTCAAGCTCCTGCGACACATTCTGTGTATGCGAAGGATATGGGGGCATAAGGCATAAAACGGCTATCATGTCGTCGTTCTCCCCAGTACCGTGCCAAAGGTTCATAAATTCGTTTTAATCCTGCTTTATGGCGACATCACATCGAACATGAACTTTAACGCGCATGTGACTACGGCGACGGCTTCATTTGCATTTTACAACTTCATTTGGCAGCCAGAGAATGCGAGGCGAAAATAAAAGAAATGTGCGCCGTCGAACCAATTGCCGCAGTTTCTCTATGAGGGGAGTATCCTGCCACGCCCACGTTCTGCTTCCACTGGGTTTTTATGGTATGAAATTATTGTTTAATCTTGGTCACTGGCCACTGGTCACTAGCCACTGGGCGCGTTACACGACAAGCGACAATTACTTGCCCTTCAACCCTTCCCTTGTCCCGGAAAAGCCAGCACCGGAAGTGGACATTTGCACGCCTCTCGATTGAGCACCCGGAAAAAATAGCCCCATTCGAACCATTAAAACGCGCAGGGTGTATTTTTTTTTCTTTCAATTCTCAACTAATTTATTTTTGCTTGTTCTTGTTGTTTTGGGTGAAATGTTTTTCGAGCTTTAGTTTAGTGACACCCTAAAGTACGTTTTTTATTTTCGGTTTTGTCATCGTTTTTAATTACAATTTCGCAATCGACTGAATTGAGTTTTGTTTTTTGGATCTAATTGGTTTACAATTTGCGAACTGAACGATTGATCCTTCCTGCAGTCTGTGCCAACTCAAACTTAATTTACTCGTAATCGTATTTAAGGTCATCTATATTATCCTTTATATTGAGATCGCTTAAAGTACAAAACACTTGTAGTTAGACTAACACGAGAGTTTTTTTTTCTGGGGGGATTCTAGGACTAGGATTAGGTTCCCATAGGTGTGATCGAGTTTAGTATTCTTTTTGTTTTTACTTTTTCTAAAGGATTTGCTGTCTATACACTTACAATGTTTTATGTTTGCCTTGGGGTTTATGTAGTTTGTGTGTTTGAATAATGCGTAGCGAGTATAAAGAGTGGAAAAGTGTTTCTATAATACAACAGAGGGGCTGGGCTATGAACCAGTTGAGTGTCCTCCAGCTAACTAATCCTAACTATTTAACCAGACAAATGCATTTCTCGATCAAGGGCTATGAGCTTGCACGGGGTTTACTTGTAGGAATTAATAAACTAAATAATTAAAGGAAATGATATAAAAACGGTTGGTTTATATGTAATAAAAAAACGAATTTAACTGATGGAATGAATAGAATGGAAAGGTTTTTAAAGCCTTAAGTTTCCTTGTCTTTCTATTAAATAAAATTCCTTTCTTTTCCTTTTTCAAAACCTGATTTAAATGAATATATCATAAAGGACTTTAAAGCTTTATATTTCCTCCTTTTTCTATTAAATAAAATTCCTTTTCCGGCAAGCTCAAGCCTTCTTCGGCTAACCGAAGTCTTGCGAAGTCTCTCCTTCTTCTGCTTCCCTCGATCCTGCGGCTGTACACGACTCTAATTAGCTTTTGAAAATATCCTGTCCGGGCTGTGGTGAGGCGGGTGAACCTCCTGCTCCATTTGCACCTCCGCCATCTCCATTCAGTCGCTTCAGCATGGCATTCCTGTGCAGCCAATAGGGCGGCGGATCCGGCGGTTGTCCTGGCAACAGGGTCTTGGCCTTCAGATTACTCGTCGGGGGAGGTGGCTTCGGGCTGTGCGAGGCTGCACTGTACATCACGGGATCGGCCAGCTGGGCCGCTGACTGGCCAATGGCCACTCGCAGTGGAGTCTCCTTCTTGCGTATGGTATCGCAGGTCTCCTTCATCTTGCACAACTGATCCTGCAGGTTGCGGTACTCCTCCAGGAACCGCTCCAGCTGCGCGGCATGATAATCATAGGCGGCCACCGAGGAGTTGGCCGCTCCGGCCGCTCGCGATGCCAAGGCAGAGAAATCCAAGAGTGGCGTGGCCGCACTGGACAGGGATCGCTGATGCTGCACGGGACTCGAGGGCAGGCTTGGCTTTTGGCCCAGTTTGTGGCCTGGCAAGAGGTTGCCCTTGTGGGCGCCACTCTGCACCAGATTGAGAAAGCTGTTGGCCCTCTGACCGCCGCCGGTGTACGTTGCCGTGGTGGAATAGTTCGCATAGCTGGACTCCGCGGAGTAGCGCCTGCCCAGGCCCATGGCCTCATTGAGGAAGCTGCCATCGCCCAGGGTACTGCTCCCGTATTTGCTGGAGTTGTCCGCCAGCAGCGGCGACTGGCTGTCCGAGGAGTTGCGGAAATACTTTCCGCTGGTCTTCAGCTTCCGTGGCAGGGTGCAGAGGCCTCCGTTTAGAGTGGGGGCTCCTCCCTGGCCCTGTTGCTGAGCCTGTGCCACCGCATACTTGGCAATGTCCAGCAGATCAGGATAGTTGCTATCGAACAGATCACTCTCCTGACCCTCGCTGCAGAACACCGAGGTGGCCATCTCATCCGCCGGATGGTTACCATAGTGCGAGTAGGGCGAGGCTGTGCTGCCAGGATTTAGGGTTGACGAAGGTGTCGGGTTCAAGGGCTTGCTGTGAGGCGAATTGATCTTGGTGGTGGCAATGGGCGTGGTCTTCCAGCTGTGTCCCGCATAGCCCGCTAGGCGAGCAGCGGCATCCACCTGGCTGGAGATAGAACTGGAGGCGGAGTCGGTGCTGGAAAAGGGAAGGAAAAATGCAAAATAAATATGTATTAATATAACAAGTTTAGTGAAATTAAGTCATAAATATTATAACAAGAATTTTCGAACTGAGACCTCAATACTTGACCCACTGATATGGCATATTTCTGATTTCGAAATCTTTCTTTTGACGCTGGCCTCCTCATGTATAAATACCACGATTGCCTGTGTGCCTTGAGTGCTTGACTTTTCAGTTTCTCGTTATTTGGCAGTGTCCTCGTCCATGAAGATAGCCAGCAATGCATCCATTAACCCGCACTCGCATTCCTTTACATGACAAGCGCCAATCAGGCAGAGTGAGCCTTTCGTGTGCCCAAAAATAAAGCACTTCTCGGGCAGGATGTGAATGTGGAAGCGGTCGTGTGGGTTGTTGGATGTGCTCGCATATTTCGCGCGTCATTAGCACGCGCGTTTTCTCTGACCGAGCAGGAGGTACAACGAGGTGTGGGTGGGTGTGGGTGGGTGTGGGTTGGTAGGAGCATAGGCCCACACACTCATGCTCAAAGTGGAAGTGTCAAGTGTTGCCCATAATACGGACGCAATACGGAGATCCGGGCGCGTTCCGCACTCGAGCATGACAGCTCTTTGACAGGGACACGGACACCCGGTCGGGGGACAATTGCCACTCGAAGTAACGAGAACCGCAGAAACAAAGGGAGCCCGGAGGGGCCAAAAGGTGGCACACTGGCCAAAAATAAGAGAAAATTATAAAGGGGTATAAATAAAATATATTTAAGTTAGACTTTTAAAGAGATTTGCTTAGAAAAAGGAAGGAACCTCTACCAAAATTTTGTCATAAAAAATATATTTAATATAAATCTATATTTAATTATAATTAAATAGCAACATTTTCTCTCTCTGTAACTCACCCTCCAATGTCGATGAGGCGCGGTATGTGCAGATCCGTTTCCTCCAGCGGCACTGAGTTATTCGCTCCGGATGCGGAGGCAACGTGTCCCTGGGAGCTTTTCCTCGGCTGCGGCTGGCTGGGATGTGGGTGGTGCTGCGGGTGCTGGCTCTGCTGCTGCTGCCCTGAGTGATGGTGTTGCTGCAGCTGCTCCTCCTCCTCATCATCGCAGTGCGTAGACACATGCAGATAGTCCCCATTCCTTCGCTGAGCACTTCCCGCACTCGGATTCACAATGGCCGCCACCTGGCCCGCATCGTTGTCGTTGAGCGGCGTGTGGGCTGCCCTCAGGTAGCCCTGCTCCTCGGCATCCTGGAAGAGACCAGCGCCCGTAGCACTGCCACCCCCACAGCTGGCCCCACCACCCAAATCCGGCCTCGTTCTGGCGGTCATCTCGATCTTCTCGTAGCTCTCACTCCGCCGCACTGGTGGAACTGAGTTCCAGAGTCGCAGCTTCCGGCGGCGTTGCAGAGAGCACAGACAGATGGCCGCAAAGGAGGAGCCACCGACCAGAAGAAGTGCCGCTATGGCGCCCAGGAGAACTATACGGACGCCCCAGGGCGCTTCCGGTGGCCTGCGGGAAACAGCCAATGTGACACTGGCCTCCACTTTGCCGGCCTTGTTTTCCGCGGCGCATGTGTAAATACCCGCATCCTGCATGTCCGCCGTTAGAATGGTCAGATTCGAGGCATTCCTTAGCATATTGACGACGTAGGTCTTCCTGCCTTGCGTGGCAGCCGCTGTCCTGGGCTCCGAATCGGAGTCACCATCTCCGCCGGCACTCAGGTTAGCTATGAGGCGGTTTTTCAGGAGCCACTTAACCGCCGGCTGGGGCACGCCCTCCACATAACAGCTCATGGTGATGTTCCTGCCCTCCACTCCGTGGGCCGTGGTATCCGTGGCCACGATCTGCGGCACGCAGGCAAAGTCATCCACATCCAGCTTGTCCCAAGCCCTGCCCGAGAGTCGTGGCGGCGACTCGCAGGTGGGGGGTATGCCACTGGGAATATTTTGCTGCAGCATCCAGGCTCGCAGGGGGCGCAGAGAGCAGCTGCAGTTCCACTCGTTGCGGGCCAGCTCCAGGCCATGCAGGGAGGCCAGCGAGGTGATGGTGCCGCTCCTGACCTCGCTAAGCCGATTGCCATCCAGCTTCAGCCACTCCAGGCTGCTCTCCAGCCCGGCAAAGGCTCTGACAGCAATGTGCGACAGCCGGCAATCACTCAGCTCCAGCTTGACCAGCTGTGGGACATGACCAAAGGCGTCATCCGGCACCCGCAGGATAGGATTCCCGCTCAACCTAAGCTCCCGCAGCTCTGAGACATGGTAGAGGGCCAGTGAGGGTATGGCCGTTAGCTGGTTTTGGCTGAGATCGAGTTCCACCAGGTTGATCAGCTTGCGGAAAGCATGCCGCTCGATCAGACGCAGGTGACACCTGGCCAGGTACACCTTCTGCAGGTTAAGCAGCTGGGCGGCGGCGAAGCTATCGTCGGGTATCGACTGAATCTCATTGCCGCTGAGGTCCAGCAGCTGGGTGCCCGCGTCCAGCGGCAAAGGGATATGTGTGAGGTTGGCGTTAAGGCACAAGACGGACTCCTTGCCGCTCTTCCACTTGCACTCGCACACCGCCGGGCACTCGGCTCGCAGCTGGCCCATCTGGCCCAGCCAGGAGCAGCAGCACAGCAGCCAGAGCAGGTGCGGCAGCGGCAGGATCTGGCGCAGACGTGGGATCAGGGGCGGGTGCAGGCGCCGCTGGGGACGCTGTGGACGCGGTCCTTTTCGCCGAACCTTTGTGGCTAGCGTAAGGCGCTGGGCGCTATTGTCGCTGGCTATGTCCTGGCTATGTCCTGGCGCAGCCGGGCTCTCCAGCGTCGCCGCCCCTCCCGCTGCCATTGCATACTCGAACGGGAATAGTACCGGCTGATGGTCCGCCTCAGGCCTAAAAGAGAGAGCAGAGGCGAAGTAAAAGTTAGTGCGGTTGTCGTAAACTCAGAACTGCGGACAGTTTAATGGGCTCGAGGAAGGCACTTTGTATATTCTATTGTAAGCACTGACAGAAAAGTATAATAGATATAAAATGATATACTAAAAATAAAAAAAAAAGTTCTAAGTATTCCTATAATATTAATTATATATTTTTTTTAAGTCTAGATAGTATTATTTAAGCTATATTATTTCGTATTTAATATAAAGAATATATTTTTCCAAGTGCACTTCCATCACAACCGTCACTGGGCCACATTAAGTCATAACAACACTCTGCCAGGAGACCCACAAAGCCATATGAAAACTCCTGCCCCCTTTTGCCCCTGGCAAACCTGAAAGTACAACTACAAATTTTGGCTTTCCTTAGTTTTCCTTTTTTTTTTGGCCTGCCATTTTCCCGTTTTTTCTACTTTTTTGTTTTTTCTTTTTTTTTGGCTATGCCCCGCGGTTTGTTTGACTTGGCTAAGGTCCCAAGTCGCCCACTGAGTGGCGTGTGTGTGTTGTATGTGTGTGTTGTGCGGCATGTTGCAATTATGGCCCTCGACCATGCAAACCAAAAACAACTAGTTGCCCCACGTCGCGATGCCGCCGCCCTCGGCGTGGCTTAATATATGAAATTTGCATGCAGGCAACGGGGCGTATGCTCAACATTTTGGCATTTCCGCGATAATTTTTCAAAAAATGGCAAGCTTAAATCTTAGTTTCTTTCTCCATTGCCACCTGATGCCCGGTCCGCACAGAATGTCATTACTTATAATTAAAATAAAAATTAAAAGGAAATGAAGTGTTAAAAAAGGTGAAAAACTAAATGGGAGAACTAGAAAAAATGTTAAGAGGCATTTTATGAATAAGTAAGCCTGTGGAAATGAATGAAATTGAATAAAATTAAATGAAAATGTTAAAGAAGTGTGCTTAATAATGAATAAAATGAGTGGGAGTTTCTTATTCAACTGATTAAATTTTAGATTTTTTTCAGAAACTGGTGGAAAAGTGAAAAAGTTTACTTATGAAAAATATAAAGCCTTCGAAATATTTTCACTAAAAGTTGTCAACCATTTTGTGAATTGAATTTTTCTGTGAAAAAAAACACCCACAAAATTCAATTGCTTGCAGAGCTTTTCTCGGTTTTCACACTGGGAAAATCGCATCGCTGACTGGCCGCTGGCATTTCGGTCAAGTCCCCTCCGACTCCATTTCGAATGGCGCTCTTACAAATACCCAACGGCCAGGTCGATCGATTGACGGCTTAATTATACATTAATACCTTGCATATATTTAATTTAAATTCGACGATTGGGTAAACACTGAGTTGTGTGCCCGCGGCCCTTGACTTTTGAACGGAGTTGAGCATTTGTTAGGGTATATTTTTGGGTTGTGGAAGTGGGAATATCAGGGAACAGAAAACAGTAACAGAAACCGGAAGCCACAAAGCAAACAAAATGCTTGCAAAAACCGCTATGGGTTTGGGTTCGACTGGAATGGCTTTGTCACTAATGCAACTATATGTGTATCTGTGTTTATGTGAGCGTGTTGTGTGGAGGGCGTTTAGGGGTCAATACACTGGACGACAGCCGCAGAAATGAAATGGAGTTTTTGCAAGTTGCTGAAAAATGCTCAGCTGCATTTTTGCCCCAGACAAAACAAAGACAAAGTGAGAGGTAAGAAGACTTAAGTCGACTTATTGATGCCCTAGTACCAAAATTTGTAAAGGAAGATGGCTGCAAATAACGCAAATAAAATAATGGAATTTATAAGAGTAGGAAACAGAGTGTTCCACAGACACAAACACTATCCATAGTATATTTTTTTACATTTCAGATATATTTGCTTTGTTAAAATCAAACATACCCTTATCCCCTATAGTAATGGGTATAAAAACAAAGCAGATACTGCAAAAAGGGAAATGGGAATGCCGCAGTGTGAGTGCCAGAGCGAGTAAATGTGTGTTTGTGTTCGTGTCTGTGGTTGTGGCATTGTCGTTGCCGTTTATCATATGTGAGCACTGCGCCGTGAAGTATGCAACATGCAAATGCAAATGCTGCTGGCTGCCTTTGCCTTTTGTGTTGTGGCGTTTCTTCTACTTCTTCGCCGCTTGGCTCCTTCTTGCCTCGCAAGTCGTGTTTGTTCTTCTGCAGACACTAATCCTATTTATGTTGCATTGCAGCGGGGTTAATAATTTTATTTCCAACGTTGCACAGCTCTGCAGTGTCCGCTGCAGTCGCCGCTACCGAAAGCCGCTTTTCCTGCTTATGACACACGATACGTGCCCGGGAGTTCGAGAAACTTTCCCGGGAGATTGTCAGCTCTGAGAACATATACTACACATGGAGTTCCAAGCTCCAAGAGCAATGGCCACGGTGAAGTAAAGGGAAAGAGGACGACGTTCTGCCTAATGAAACTCGCATTAACGGCAAGCTCTATGCTCTGCTCTCCTTCCCCAAAAATGACAGCTCACAAATGTGAGATCTCACATGTCACTGACGATTTCCGCAAATAGTTTATCCCAGGCCCCAAAGAGATAATGTTACACTGGGAAAAAGGGAAGTATATATTTTGGAATAGAGCTAAATGTAAAGCCAATGTCTGCTGTTCATATTCTCTTCAAAAGTAGTTGTATTTTAAAGAAAACAATACAATAAGTTAAAATGAAGTTACTACTATATCTTTATTTAATAAACTCTTAGAATTTACTACCTGATTTTCCCTTTTATTTATCCTTACAAGTCTCCTCTGATTGTTTATGCCTTCACGGTGTAAGACGTATTATGTGACAGCTGCCAAATGTTGGTTGGCTTTGTTTTTGGCACAGATTTTTGGCCAACTTTGGGCAGTATCCTTTTCTATCTCTCTCTTTCAAACACATAACCTCTAGCCCTTGCTTTAATGTAAAAATAATGTCCTTTCAGGCGGCATTGATTGCAAATAAATTACGCACACACAGGGAACAGCTGAGTTCGAGTGAGAGAACAGATTAAGTGGCCGAAAAAGCAGACTTCATAAAGCCAAGCAGCACACACACACACACAAAAACACATTCGTAAATCGGGAAATATTTGGGGAAAATGGTAAAAGCCAGTCTGGCCCCCATTAATTTCACTTTGGCGCCGCGTTCCGTTTGCTGAAACTTTAATTAGAAAATCCTGGCTAAAAGATTTTTTGTGTAATTTTCGCTGCTTGAATGCCTCCGGTAAGCTGGAGCAGGAGTAGGAGCCCGACGACTTCCCTATCTGCTTGCTGCTGATAATGAAGTTCTTTTGCTTCCACTTCCTTGTATTCTTTGCATTCACACTTCCGGCTTCATTATGCGCGAATTATTTTAGCTGCACTTCCCTCGCTCCCCTCAGCCATCCACACGATTTGCCCGTCTTCGACCCTCCGCAGGTTGGAGCAAATATTATTCCACTGCTGCTGCTCGGAGACTTTGATAGTAAATTCCCTTTTAATACTCTTACTACTTGTGGGGTCTATTGATTATGTTGAAAAGGAAGCTAAGCCAAAATATTGATTGCCTTACAGGTCACGTCAAACAACATAATATACAAATGATATATTTTAAGGAATGGTTTTGAATGCCATTTATTTTAATTAAATTCATAATTTTCCTATTAGAATCATATATTTTATGTGATCCTTCTCAAGAAAGAGCATCCCGTAGCCACCACTTCATCAGTGCTAACCAAACAGAGTTAAAAGTAATCTCTAGGCCATTCCCTCCAGTTCGCTGTCATTATTCATTTTTGTGTGCATTTCTTTTTGTGCTGTGTAACCTTTTTTGCCGCATTGTTTTGCAGCTGTAAAGCAATTTTCGCAAGCATAATAGACTTTACCAGCTAAAAACAAAAAACGCAAAAAAAAAAAAAGAATAAGAGTGGGGAAAACAACTTGGGACTGAAGAGGGAGGGAGGGAAACTCCAAGCCAAATGCCAGAAAAATATAAAGCAAGAATAAAACAGAAGCTAAGCGTTATTTCTCAAGAGGCTCGTGGTAACCTGGGGAATACACTCCTCGTTTTTTTTCGCCCCGATTTTTCTCGAGTCCTCTGGCCGACTCCTGTGGTCAGTTGCAGTTTCCGCGACTAGGCCTAGGGTCCTTGCTGCCACATTGTTTGCTACGCTGCATCCTTTCAACTCCGCCGACCCGAGCCCCCATTTTCACCAAGTGCCACTTCAGCGGCTGTTGTTTTTATACCCTTGCAGGGTATTATAATTTCAGTCAGAAGTTTGCAACGCAGTGAAGGAGACGTTTCCGACCCTATAAAGTATATATATTCTTGATCAGCATCAACAGCCGAGTCGATCTAGCCATGTCCGTCTGTCCGTCTGTCCGTCTGTCCGTCTGTCCGTCTGTCCGTCTGTCTGTCTGTCTGTTTCTACGCAAACTAGTCCCTCAGTTTTAAAGCTATCTGAATGAAACTTTGCATATAGTCTTCTATATGCTCTCACTGCTATATATGTCGGAACGGGCCGGATCGGACGACTATATCATATAGCTGCCATACAAATGTTCGATATATTTGAAGAAAAAAAAATTATAACTTGGCTGTTTATCAACATTTTTGCACCATTTTTTAGATATGGCCATTTTATCTTATTTCAGAATTTCAGTAAAAATTTTATGAAAATCGGACGACTATATGATATAGCTGCCATAGGAACGGTCGAGAAATAAATAGGAAAAAAAATTATAGTTTCGTTGTTTTTCAACGTATGTATGTTTATCTACTCTGAGATATAAGCTTTTTTTATTATTCTAGAATTATGGTATAAATTTCATAAAAATCGGACAAATATATCACATAGCTGCCATATAAACCGATCGGTAGATGTAGAGAAAATGTAAAACTGGGAATGTAAAACTGTAACTGTCAAACTGTAAATATAATAGGTATACGTAAAATGTAATGAAACTCTGTTTTGTGAGTGTTTTCAGAATTTAAATCTATAATATAAACAT